TCACTCTCTGCTGCTGCCCTCAGCTATGCTGCTGCTTCACTATCTGCTGCTGCCTCACTCTCTGCTGCTTGCCTCACTCAGCTGCTTGCTTCACTCTGGCTTGCATGCCTCACTCTCTGCTGCTGCCCTCACTTGCTGCTGCTTCACTCTCTGCTGCTGCCTCACTCTCTGCGGTGCCTCTCTCTGCTGCTGCTTCACTTCCTCTGATGCTGCTCACTCTGCTGCTGCTTCACTCTCTTGCTGCTGCTATCACTCTCTGTGCTGCTTCACTCTCTGCTGCCTGGCCTCACTCTCTGCTGCTGCCTCACTCTTGCTGCTGCTTCACCTCTCTGCTGCTGCCTCACTTCTGCTGCTGCCTCACTCTCTGCTGCTGCCTCACTCTGTTGCTGCCGCACTCTGCTAAGATAAGAAAGAAGATAAGAGTTCTTTTGGATTTTTACCCCGTAGGGTTAGCAAACAGGTACCCTAGAAAGTCCAGTGCGTCATCGAGGACGTCTAACTTATTTCCATTGGGGGTTTTCCTCCAGTCTTGTCCCACTGGATGCAAAAACCACATCCAGTCGACTACACCCAGGACCCTGTTTGATGCCTTGGTGACAGGGCAAACAGGTGTTGGAAACGTGTCAGCATGCTTTCCACCAACGAGGAATCGTACCAGGACATCCTGTCGTGCGAGCGGGAGCTGTAGACACCATGCCACTGGGTCGGCTTCACTCTTACTGCTGCCTATCTCTGCTGCTGCCTCACTCTGCTGCTGCCTCACTCTGCTGCTGCCTCACTCTCGGCTGCTTGCCTCACTCTGCGCTGCTTGCACTATGCTGCTGCCTTCACTCTCTGCTGCTGTCTTCTTCATTTCTCTTACCTCTTTTTCAGAATTTCTAATTGCTTCCTGAGCTTCTTGCTGATTGTATGTGAATACTGGTCTCTTCAGGCGTGCATGTGTAAGAAATTTGCTAGGTTTTAAACACAAAAGTTTGCATCCAAGGATCTGAGCGGTCACTCAGAGCGACAATACATGTACTTCTTTTCCTTATGACCATTGGCCACCAAGATAGCCTTGGTCTAGCAGTTGCTACGGCCACCCATAGGTTACCTTGGTTGGCACCGAGATAGCCATGGTCTCACAGTAGCTACCTGCCAACCATAGGGTTACCTTGGTTGGCACCGAGAGATAGCCGTGGTCTCACAGTTGCTACAGACACCACAGGGTTACCTTGGTTTGTGCACCAAGATAGTCGTGGTCTCACAGTAGCTACAGCCACACATAGGGTTACCTTGGTTGAGACCGTGATAGCCAGTGGTATACGAGTAGCTACAGCCACCCATAGGGTTATCTTGGTTGGCACCATAAGATAGCCGTGTTCTCACAGTACTACAGCCACACATACGGTTACTGGTTGGCACCGAGGATAGCAGTGGTCTCGCAGTAGTACTGCCACCCATAGGGTTACTTGGTTGGCACCAAGCATAGACGTGGTCTCACTGTTGTAAGCAAAATCCCTCCCATAGGTTACTTTGGTTGGCACCAAGATAGCCGTGGTATCCAGTTAGCTACAGCAACCCCCCCCATTAGGGTACCTCTGGTTGGCACCAAAGATGCCGTGTCTCACAGTAGGCTAATGCCACCCATAGGGTTACCTTGGTTGGCACCATGATAGCCGGTGAGTTTCACCAGTAAGCTACAGGCCACACCTAGGGTTACCTTGGTTGGCACCAATTGCCAATGGTACTCACAGTATACACCAACCCATAGGGTCTACATTGGTTGGCACATATTAGCCGTGGTCTCACAGTAGCTACAGCCACCATAGGGTTACCTGGTTGGCACACAAGTTAGTCGTGGTCTCTCACAGTAGCTACAGCACACATAGGGTTTACTTGGTTGGCACGAGATAGTCGTGGTCTACAGTTAGCTACAGCCACACATACGGTTTCCTTGGTTGCCACGGGAGTAGTCGTGGTATCACAGTAGCTACAGCCACCTTAGGTTACCAATTGTATTGTGAAAGCATATGCACTAAAAAATATGAAAAAAATTATGAAAATGTTTCAAATAAAATGACAAAATTTATATTACTATTATTTGTTATTATTATTATTATTATTATTATTATTATTATTATTATTATTTTTATTATTATGATTATTATTTATTATTATTATTATTCATTTTATTTTCTATTATTATTAATTTAAGAAATGAAGCACAGATTCATTTCCCTAGATCAAGAGACCTTTCTCCATGTACGTGCTTACTACTACTATTAATAATAATATATTTGGACATGATACATAGTTGTACAAGTAATTATAGTAGTTGGGTGTACAGCTTAAAATGGGCAGCTTAAAATTAACTTAAAATTAACTAAGCAATGATAGGTCGTGGTGAAAAATTACAACAATAATAATAATTAATACATATAACAGTAATTAAATAGTGATAGTGGATTTCTTTGTTCCAAATTTTTTTCATGATATGTACAACATTGTCATAGGGTAGTAGGGTGGTAGACAGCAAACCGCCCCAGGGAATGGTCCTTACCGTCTCCTTGTGGGAGTAGGTTGGTCGACAGCAACAGCCCAGGGAGGTACTTCCGTCCTGTGGTAGTAGGTTGGTAGACAGCAACCGCCCAGGGAGGTACTACCGTCCTGTGGTAGTAGGTTGGTAGACAGCAACCGCCCAGGGAGGTACTACCGTTCGTGCCAAGTGTGTGATAAAACGAATGCATGTAATTGTTTCTATAGATGATGCTAGGATTGCTGGTTTCCTTTTCTTCTCGCTCTCATGAACATGCAAGATGTCAGGTTGGTCTTGTACTTATACTTACACTTAGGTCGCACTTACACATACATGTACAAGCACATATATACACACCCCTCTGGGTTTTCTTCTATTTTCTTTCTAGTTCTCTATTCTTGTTTATTTCCTCTTATCCCATGGGAAGTTGGAACAGATTCTTTCCTCCGTAAAGTCAGGCGTGTTGTAAGTGGCGACTAAAATGGCAGGGAGCAATGGGCTAGTACCTCTTCTCATGATTTATATGCTAAATGTGAAAAAGGAGAAACTTTCTTTTTTCCTTTTGGGCCACCCGCCTCGGTAAGGGGATAAGGCCGGATTGGTTGAAATGAAAAGATGTAAACATTGTAACCTTTGCAATGAAAATATATATTTTATTTTATTTATTTATTTATTTAACCATTGACTGTCGCAACCCCAAATACTGAGGTGTCTCCTGGTGTCGCAAAATATTTGAGAAAAAAAAAATATTTTTTCTTAGGAAATGATAGAGAATTTTTTCCCGATGGTAATGACCATCAAAAGTACGAAATTTGATGGAAAATTTATGAAATTTCGTTTCGGGAAGTTAGCGACATCGGCGATATTTCACGGAATCAGCATTTTGCCACTTTGAGACTATTTTTGGCTAATTCCATTGTTCAGTCGACCAAACTCATAGCTATTTCTTAGAATTTCATTGTGTTATCGGATTGGGTACAGATCTGCCCATTTTCTGATTTAAACTACCATAAAGTGTGTCTCGAACTTGGCAATTTGGCCAATTTCATGCAAATTAAAAAAATTGCCAATTTCAAAATAGGAGTCCAGAATGAACAATGCAGACATTCTGGTCTAAAATTAACTTTTTCTTAGTTCATCAGTATGTCTCCAGGACCCCTCTGATATTACTCTTTGCTTTTTCTAGTTTTGATTTTTACTCTATAAAATAGACTAATGATTTACTGCTATGCAGATACTGCAATATTGTAATAATTGTTAAATATGTCAACCCATTCATGACTGCATATTAGGATGGCTAGTTGGCATTTATTGGACAATGACATCTGTGTTTTACTCTGGAAACATTGGAAAATCAAACATTACCCCCTACTTTGTGCTCCCTCCCCCTCTTATGCTTGTGTGTGTGTATTGTCCCTCCCTCCCCTCCCTCCTCTCTGCCTGTGTGTGTGTTTGTATGTCCCCTCCCCTCTTTGCCTGTGTGTGTGTATGTCCCTCCCCCCTCTCTGCCTTGTGATGTGTCGGGTATGTCCCCTCCCCCTCTTGCTTGGTGTGTGGTATGTCCCTCCCTCCCCCTTCATGCCTTTGTTTGTGTGTGTATGTCCTCCCTCCCCCTCTCTACTGTGTGTGTATGTTCCCTCCTCCCCTCTCTGGCTTTGTGTGTGATGATATGTCCCTCACCCTCTTGCCTGGTGGGGTGTATGTCCCTCACCCTTTCTCCCTGTGTGTGTATATGTCCCCCTCCCCCTCATCTGCACTGTGTATGTATATGTCACTCCCTCCCCTCTCGTGATTGTATGTTTTGTATGTCCCTCCCTCCCCTCTCTGCCTGTGTGTGTGTGTCCCTCTCTCCCCCCTCTATGCCTGTGTGTGTGTATGTCCCTCCTCCCCCTCCATGCCTGTGTGTATGCCCCTCCCTTCCCCCTCTTGCCTGTGTGTGTGTGGTCCATCCCCCTCTTCTGTGTGTGTATATGTGCCCCTCACCCCTCTCTGCCCTGTGTGTGGTGTTATATGTTCCACTCCCTTCCCCCCTCTCTTCCTGTAGGTTTGTATGTCCCTCCTCCCTATACTTGCCAGTTGTTGGGTCCTCCCTCCCCCTCTTACTGTGTGTGATGTCCTCCTCCCCCTCTATGCCTGTGTATATGCCCCTCCCTCCCCCCTCTCTGCCTGTGTGTGTGGTGTTGGTCCTCCCTCCCCCGCTTACCTGTGTGTGTATGTCCCTCCCTCCCCCTCTCTCTTGCCTGTGTATATGCCCCTCCCTCCCCCTCTCTGCCGGCTATGTGTGTGTGTCCCTCCCTCCCCCTCTCTGCCTGTATGTGTGTCCATCTCTCCCCCTCTGTGCTTCTGTTTGTGTCCCTCCCTCCCCCCTCTTTTATTTTCTTTGTTTAACACACCAGCCATCTCTCATCTAAGTAGTAGTGGTGATTCACCACAACAAATGCAAGCACATTCACCATAATTCATTCTGTCACTGTCTTGCCAGAAGTGTGATGACACCACAGTTCAGATCAACCTTCCAACAACATCCTCGCCAGAAGTGTGATGACACCACAGTTCAGATCAACCTACGAACAACAACATCCTCACCAGAAGTGTGATGACACCACAGTTCAGATCAGCCTACCAACAAACAACGTCCTCGCCAGATAGAAGTGTGATGACACCTCAGTTCAAATCAAACCTTTCAACAACAACATCCTCACCAGGAAGTGTGATGACACCACAGTTTCAGATCACACTACCACAACAACATCCTCGCGAAGTGTGATGACACACAGTTCGTGAACCTACCAACAACAACATCTCGCCTCATCTGCAAGAGTGTAGTCACTATAAACTTCTTGATTAATATGGCATGTTATTACTTTTGGTATACTTGCAACACCTGTTCATTTGTGCACTTTATACACTCTGAACACTTGTATAGCAGTAGTCCCCTATTTATACAGCAGGTTAGGTTCAAGGTTTCACTGCTGGAAAGCAGACAGCGCCGGATAACAGAACAGCATTTTTTCCACTTATTAATGGCATATAAATGTCAGATAAGAAGTTTTACAATAAACATCTATTAAGTTTAGCAATGCCATACTAGGGCATTAAAAGCAATAAAAAAGTAAATAACATACCCATTCACCCTATTACTTACCTTAAAAAATATTTATAGTACTAATGTAGGGTGAGAGGTTGAGTTTTATTTGTATGCAAGTCAAGGTTTGTGAGGTGTGATAAGCCAGCCAGGCCAGGTCAGCAAACCCCACCCCAACCCATTCGTAATATGCATACAATTTAATTAAACCTCCACCAGAGCGATAAAATACATATACTTACATTCATTAATTACCTTAAATAATTTTATTGTCTTTTCCCTTACAGGTCAAGAGGTCCCTCTCCTAAACAAGTTCTAAGGGTCGAAAACATTTTTTGGAAAAAAAAAACAATTTTTTTTCTTATGAAATGATAGAGAATCTTCCCGATCATAAAATGATACCTAAAAGTATGAAAATTTGATGGAAAAACTTGGGAATTATGCTCTACTTGCGAGTTAGCGGACTCGACGATGTTGACGCGTCGGCGATTTCACCCACCTTTTGAGCCCTGTTTTCAGCACACTTCGTGTACTAGTGACAACAATCATATCTAATTCACTAGAACTTCCATTTTTTCTATCGCAAATGAGTACAGAAACCACCTTTTACCGATTTCCAAGTATCAATAAGTGGTCAGAAATTGGCAGTTCTTTCCAAGTTCACACAATCTAATTAATGATGAGTAGAATTACGACAGATATAAAAAGTAGAAGGATACAAGTGCAACTCAATGTGGGACAATTTTTATTGTGGCAACAGTTTCGCTTCCACGAGCTTTGTAAAGCCGTGACAAACTGTACATGGACACTGAGGGTATATATAGGCTTCAGAGTGAGGTGCAATTACTAGTGGTAGTAGTAGTGATATAAGTGTTGTAGTAGTTGTAGTGTTACTGTATGGTAGAACCAATTATCTCACAAATGAGTAAAGATATAAAAGGCTATTACAGTGGAACACCCCGCATACGGACGCTTGCATAACGGGACAATCCGCATACCGGAGCTTTGACGCTAAATTTTGCCCTTCGCCATTTTACCGACAAAACCCGCTCAGCGCCCTTCGTGAACGAGACCGTCCAATGTTGCGGCCTGAGCACGATCACATGTTCCGCGGTGGCCATTGTTTACGCAGCATCCGCGGTAACATTCCAAGCATAAATCGGAACATTTCGGATTATCAGTGTTGTGGTGATTTTTTTCTGGAAATAAGTGACATGGGCCCCAAGAAAGCTTCTAGTGCCAACCTACAGCAATAAGGGTGAGTATTACTATGGGATGAAGAAAAAGTTAATTGATAAGTATGAAAGTGGATGTGAGTGTCCTCCGAGCTGGCCCAGGTTGTATAATAAACCCAATCAAACCCATCGCTATATTGGTGGTACAGTGCTGCTGCTGCTGTTTTCACCGTCAGCTGTGCTGCACTGTAGCTGCTGCGGCACTTGTCAGCTGCTGCTGCTGTACCACCGTCAGCTGCTCCTGCTGCTGTTGTACCGTCGGCTGCTGCGTAGCATCGTCTGCTGCTGCTGTAGCATCGTCTGCTGCGGCTGTATGCATCGTCTGCTGTGCTGTTGTAGCATCGTTCTGCTGAATGCTGTAGCATCATCTGCGCTGCTGTTGCATCGTCTGGACTGCTGTAGCATCGTCTGCTGCTGCTGTAGCATCGGATGTTGCTGCTGTTGCAGCGCTGTTGCTGCTGTACCACGTCAGCTGCTGCTGCTGCTGCTGTAGAAATCTGTCTGCTGCTGATGCTGCTGCTTGTATAGTATCAGTCTGCTGCTGCTTGTATGTAACATCGTCAGTTGCTGCTGTAGCATAGGTCTGCTGCTGCTGTACACAGTCCAGCTGCTGCCTGTAGCATCGTCTGCTGCCTGATGCTGCTGCTGTAGGCATCGTCTGCTGCTGCTGTAACATCGTTTCAGTTGCTGCTGTAGCACGTTGCTGCTGCTGTAGCTTCGTCTGCTGCTGCGGTTAGCATCGTATGTTGCTGCTGTAGCATTCGTCTGGTTTGCTGCTGTACCACCGTCAGTGCTGCTGCTGTGCTGCTGTAGAATGTCTGATGTGCTGTAACATCGTTCAGTTGCTGCTGTAGCCATGTTGCTGCTGCTGTGCACGTATGTTGCTGCTGTAACACCGTCAGCTGCTGCCTGCTGCTGTGCACCGTTGTTGGTGATGGCTTATTGAGAATACCAAGAAACAATTAACCCCAGCGGATTTGCCACCCGGATAGCCCAAAATAAGTCAGTGTCATCAAAAGACTGTCTAACTTTGTCCATTGGGGTCCATTAATCTTGTCTCCAGGATGGCATCACACCAGTCGACAAACACCAGGTGAAAGGGAAAATGCCTGGTAACTAGTGATCATATTGGTGATGTAGAGCCAGCAAAGGTTGGTTTGAGAGATTTTTAAGAATCGTAGTGACATACACAGTGTGATAAGGCCTGTTTGGAAGAAAATACCAATAACAGGACTACAAGTACATCAGGAGGGAAAAAGCATACCAGGGACACAGTGTCTTCCTCAGTCATTGCTGCATCGGTTCAATAAAGGTAAAGTGTCAGTTATTCTCCTTTTGTAGAGTGGTACATGCACATTATCATATTGTGCATGTACTACTCTAATAGTGTGCATTTATCCTTCACTTTGTGTGTAGGAAAATGTATATTTATGTGGTGTATAAATTTTTTTTTTCATACTTTTGGGTGGCTGAACGGATTAATTTGATTTCCATTATTTTCTATGGGGAAAAAATTCATTCGCATCACGAAAATTTCGCATAACAGCCAGCCCTCTTGCAGGATTAAGTCGCTATTGCGGGGGTCACTGTAATGGCCTTACATAAATAATAGGTTTAGACAGATATTTTCTGTTGGAGACTGCGATAGGAGAAGGCCTGGTTCACTGTTCATTCTCCTGTAATATGCTTTGTGTAGTATTAACAGGAGAGACTATGTGATGGCAGGTTTACTGTTTTCAGGAGGATTCTTGCTAAGACTTCAGAGGATGGTGAAGCTTGCTTTTGGTTTGTCTAATTCGTATTCGAAACAGCGATTAGTAATGATCAATGGGGTCACTTGTGTCTGCAGAAATTTGTTTCTTTGATCACTATTTGGCATCCTGAATTTCATGAGTTGATCATTGGAACCTTCAGTGTTGTACACAGGCGTTGTTCAAGTTACGTTTCCTACATGCATAAATGGTCATTGTGGAGGGGTGGTCCGACGGTATCTTGTGTTTACCTACACTTAAATATTGTTGCAGCCTCCACAGGGTATAGGTGTTAAACCCCGCATTGACTGGTTTCATGGTGTTTTGATTCTTGTTACTGGTTAGATTCCTTTTTTGAAGTGCTGGAAGCATGGCGACTCTGGTGTACTAGAAATACGTATTTGTCTCACCTATATTATTTTTATGTTACCAAGTAATAGCTTTTATATTCTTTTATAATTTGCAAGTTATTTTCTCCATATTGTATTACTATATACTACTACAACTTATATCACTACTACTACTACTACAACTTACATCACTACTACTACCACAACTTATATCACTACTACTACTACCACTAGTATTGCACCTCACTCCTGAGCCGATATTATAACCTCTATGTCCATGTACTGTTTGTAACGGCTTGACAAAGCTCCTGGAGAGCGAAACATTGCCACAATAATAATGTCACATTACTTGCACTTGTGTCCATTTACAGAGGGAAACTCAAATATCGAACTTTCTTCGTTCCAGACGGTGTTCAAGTGCCGCTTTACCGTATTGAATTTATTCCATAAGGGAATAATGTAAATTAGATTAGTTCATTTCAGGCCCCTCAAAAAAGACACTTATAAACAGCACTTACAAAATACACCTTAACATAAATGGTTGAGTTGGGAGCAGTTCGATTTTTGAGTGTTCCACTGTACTTTACAATTTCACACAAATTTCAGAAGATGCCATTTCCAAATAAGGTCCAGAATAAGCAAGACAGACATTCCTGGCACTAATAAACATTTCTCTGTTCATTAGCCTGTCCCCAGGCCCCTCTTACATATCTTTTGCTTTCCATTTGGATTTTTATTCTCACAAAAAATAGAAGATTTACTGTTATGCAGACTACTGCCATTAGTGTAGAAGTGCGTGTAGAAATAGTATAAATAATATCAGGGACTTGTGAAAGAAAGAATATTAGGACTCACCAGTTGACATGTATTGGATGCTAGGCATCATTTGTTTACTTTAAAAATTTGGAGTAAAATTGAAAATTTGAGTTCAATTTCAAGGTACTTTTCATATGAAAACCAATCAAAATCATCTATCTTTCTGTATATGTCTTCCATTCTATAAAAATGAGACCAGGGAAAACTAGATATAACCATAATTACCATACAAAAATACACTGCAAAGTCGCTGTTTAAACCAATAACACCGTCGGAGTTTTTTTTTTCTCATGCCATATGTGCTGCAGGATTTTTTTTTTATATTGTGCACACTGACCACATAGACCCATTCTTTCATGATGTAGGGGCATACCAGCTTTCTCTCACTAGATTTGAAGGCGC